CGGAAAGCGGCCAGTCTCCTAATTCTGCAGCCTTTCATTGCTTCGTTCACTACCCTCAGCTATCCAGGAGGGAGATAAATGAAGTGGGATTACAGGCAGTCTGCCAGGCTCACATGGCTTTTGCATGGATTGTGGCGATCTGAACTGGGTATTTACCTCCAGCACCTTGAACCTCACTTTATCTGAGCACCAGTATCTAGATCACAATGTGGGATTCAGTTATGAAAACTTAAATGATATAGTAATATAATTGGATGTTTGTATTCTTTCTCTTAGGAAGTAAGGCTTTGACTCTGACGGGAGAAGCAGGTAGGCTGACTGCACACTTTCACTGTTCCTTCTGCTTCTTAAAACCACATCCCTCAGTCCCATCCTCAGCTGTGCAAGAGACCTTCAGTAGCTTCTACCTCATCTCGTCTCTAGTGGATCCCACAGATCTTCCCCTCCTAGCCTCCTACCACCCCTCATTGCATAACCCCTGCCCCTGACTCCAGCAGACATTCCCTGGGAAAGAACTCGACACACAAGAAAGGGAAGGCTGGGGAAGCAAGCAGACTAACTGTAGATCTTCACCTCTCCCTCCATTCTAGCAAGTACAATCACCAAGCTCATTCCCAGCTCTGTAGCAGACAGACCTTCTGCTGTGGCCTCTCCTCATTCTCTGTCTCCATTCCCAAGGGGCTAACTAAGCAGATCCTGGCTGGTGGAATAACTTGCTTTCCTCCCTCTTGTGAAACACCCCACTGCCCAAAGTACACCCCTATTCCTAAGTGTGAAGACACAATTCCCTTAACACATTTTATCTGGAACTCCCAGTGGCCACACAGATCAGGACTGCAGAAATTTTCCTACCAAGCAACAAACACACAGCCACCACACTCTTCTAAGAAACAGGGGAAACAGAAACCAAGGGAAAAAAACATTCATTCAACAAAGACAAGACCAGTTATCAGCACCTAGAATTAGAACCATCCCCATCCAAGATGCCTAGATGCCAGCATAATAACACAGTCAATACATCAAGGAAAATATGTCTCCACAAGAGTCCAGTAGTAACTCTACCACATCCAGCCCTGATTAGTCCAACATGGCTGAAGCATAAGCAAAAGCCTTTATGAATATGATAGAGGTCTTTAAAGGGAGATTGGATAAATTATTCAAAGAAATCAGTGAAAACACAAACAATGGAAGGAAATGAATCAAACAGGTCAACACCTGAAAGTAGAAATAGAATCAATATAGAAAACCCAAACTGAGGGCCATGTGGAAAATTTAGGTACTCGACTAGGAACCACAGAGAGACAGCTTTGCCAATAGAATACAAAAGATGGAAAACAGCCTCTCAGGCATTGAAGACACAATAGAAGAGAGGGGTACCTCAGTCAAAGAATATAATATTAGACCAGCAAAGTCAACACACACACACACACACACACACACACACACACACACACAACCACCACCACCACCACCACCACCACCACCATCACCACCACCGCAGCAGCAGCAACCACAACAGCAAAATAACAGGAACCAGCAATCATTGGTTATTGATATATCTCAACACCAATGGTATCAATTCCCCAATAAAAAGACACAGACAAACAAAATAGATGAGAAAACAGGACCCACCCTTCTGCTGCATCCAAGAAAAACATCTTAACGTCCAAGATAGAAATCACCTCAGGATAAAGCACTGGAAAAAGATATTCCAAGCAAATGGACCTCAGAAAGAAGCTCTTGTAGCCATTTTAAAACCTGACAAAATAGACTTCAACCAATACTAATCAGAAGAGATAAGGAAGGGCACCACATACTCATCAAAGGAAAAGTCCAACAGGAGGACATTGCAATTCTTAATATCTCTGCCTCAAACACAAGGGCACCCATGTTTGTAAAAGAAATACTACTACAGCTTAAATCACATATTGACCCTCACACACTGATAGTGGGAGACTCCAATACCCCACTCTCACCAATAGATAGATGATTCATACAAAAACTAGTCAGAGATATGCTGGAGTTAACTGATGTTATAAACCTAATGCACCTAACAGGTATTTACAGAACATTTTGCACAAACGCAAAAGAATATACCTACTTCTCAGCACTTCATGGAACTTTCTCCAAAATTGGCCACATACTCAGACACAAAGCAAGTTTCAACAGATACAAGAAAATCGAAATAACACCTTTCATCCTATTAGACCACCATGGATTAAAGCTGCATCTCAACAACAACAGAAACAACCAGAAGCTTACAAACTCATGGAAACTGAACAACTCTCTACTGAATGAAAAATGGGTCAGGACAGAAATTTCTAGAATTCAATGAAAATGAATACACAACATACCCTAACTTATGGGATGGAATAAAGGCTGTTCCCAGAGGCAAGTTCATAGCACTAGGTGCGCACATGAAAAAAAAAATTGGAGAGATCTCATAGTAGCAACACACCTGATATCTCTAGAACAAAAAAGAAGAAATCACACCCAAAAGGAGTAGACAGTAAGAAATAATCTAATTCGGGGCTGAAATCAATAAAATAGGAAAAACAACAACAAAATATAAAGAATAGATGAAACAAAGAGTTATTTGAAAATAAGTGTGAGGTAAGGGATTTGATAATATGTCTAATCTTGAATTCTCTCCGCTTTTTGATGAGGATTATGAAGAAGCTAATTTTACAACCTTGGCAAGCTAGGACACAGTGAGGTTGGGGGGATTCATTTCCCAATTCCTTCCCGGCCTTATGAGCTGAGCTTGGTGTTTGCAATTCACTAACCAATCTAATTAAAAGTCTAGAAGCAAAGATGGCATTGGATAGTCCACACATATTATTTTGAGAGGCAAGAGAAGAACTACAGCTATTTGATTCCAGATCGAAAGAAGCATTTGTGTGTTGTGTAGACCCTTCACTGCCTTTACACTTGGTTATTTTCCCCACTAAATTGTCTCCTATGGGTATTACAGCATAAGAGGATGGATCATTTAAGGGTATGGGAGGGATTCCTGGTCCAGATATTCAACAATGTATTAATACTTTTTCCTCAACTCACCGAGTGGAACTAGCTGTTTTGATTAATTTATTAAGGATAATTCATAAACCCTTAAACACAACATCTGGTTAAAACCCACACACATCCTTTGTTTACTACTCATAACTTTGTAACTCTAACCTACCTGGTTTTATTGCAGTAGGAAATAAGCAATCGGATGCATTAACCTGGCCTATCTTTACTTCCCCAGAAGAAATTTGGGAAGGGGTATACATCTGTAATTGCAAACAGATCCACCAAAAATGTGGATTCCTCCTTGGCTTCTGCAGCCCTGGGCTATCAAGGACCAAGGGGGAAGGGCAGGGGACAGTGGAAGTCACCAGAAGCATAACAAAAACTCCCTGGATAAAAGACAAAAGGAGATGTGGACCATATCATCAGATGTCAAGTCTGCCAAGCTTACCTGGGGCCAAGTTAAAGGTCTATGTACCAAAGGAGAAGTTATTCTATAAAGCACAAAGAGCCCTATGTCTCCTGAGAGTCTTTTTCTAGCAATGCTAGCTAGCTGCTTGGTCTGTGCATCTGCAGTGAGAACTTCTGAACATATGTATTGGTCTCATGTTCTTCATCCTCTTTGCTTCAGCTTACAAGCAAAGATTAGATGGATCCAGCTCCTGTTACCTGTATTAATGACTCTGTGTTTATGACTGGAACTGGGGACTGTAGACTCCTCATTCATCTGAAGAAGGGACTGTGTTTCAGTTTTCCTTGCAATTTGAAGCACTTCCCTTTTGCATAGGACACCACAACATTTTTGTTCCTATTCAAGGACAAATATGGACTTAGGTTCTACAAGAGACCAGAACTACCAATCATATGTGTCTCTTTTCAAGCTATTCTCTAGATCTTTCCGATCAATGTAATAATGTAATCAAAAGTATCGGACACAGTTTGGACTCCTGTCCTTGGTGGCAGAGTATTACACACAGTGCTTTCACTGTTCTAATATTACTCATTACAACTATAATTTGTTTGCTTATAGGATACTCGAGCATCAAATGGCAATCAGATTTATCTATGGCATCTCAAATCAAAACCACTTTGGATATCCTACTACTAAAAATTGAAAAGAGGGAAGATGTCAGAACATGGTCATGGGAGGAGAATTCTGAGTACTTATAAGAAAACAAGACGAGGATCTTGTGACTTCAGTTTCCTAAAACGCACACAATTGTTCTTGGATCATGCCTTCATGTCTCTCTCAGGGATAGTAGATAGGAATGAGTTTACTTCAGATTGTTCATAACAACTGGCTATTGTTATTTGTTTATATGCCCCTGTGAAAATCGTTTTTTGCCATGTGTGTCTTTCCTGTCACATGAGCCCCTCCTGACTGTACATTTTACTCATGTGACTCCTCTTAGCCCTCAGACTACAAAATGTCTGCTGCTCTGAATAAAGTTGGATATTGCACAAGACTTTGTTCTGCCTCATTTTCCCACTCCATTCTCCAAGGACTCACCAGCAACTAGAGTAGTAAACAGTATAACACCTCAAGGGCTGCAAGAGACATCAGCTCCATAATGTTTGTAAATTATGTAGCACCATGAAAGTATAAGTAAAGTTTCCTAAGACCACAGTTTCTCCCTTCTTCCTTGGAAATATCATGTAAGATTTCTTTTGACATGCTTAGCTTCAGAATTTTAATTTTTTAAAAGAGAGTCTTTGGCACCATCAAAGGCTACAAAGTAACTTTTAATTGTCAAATTGCAACTTTTTTTGTACTAAATGTTCAAGGAATTTCCTCAGGGTAGGAAAAAACTGCATAATATTTACCAGTTTAACCAATTTCCTTGCAGTTTGAAAATTCATCAGAAACTTAATTTCAAGAAAAAATTTATTGGACATTATAAAGCAGCTATAGCATTCTTTACAATAAAATGTAATCTTTGAGTTGAAAATTAATCAAAAGGCAAAAGATCAGAAAATCTTTGGGCAGTATGGTGGACTTAGAGGCACTTGATATTTGTTCTGTTAAATTGCTACAGACATACAAATGTAACATGTTTCATGAGCGTAATCCATTCTGTCAGTCAAACAGCAGCAAGCATTTCTTCAGGAAAATACAGAAATAATATCTTTAAAAATTATGAGTATAATGCTTAGTTTGATTTCTTCATAATGATTCCTTTATGAGTTGGGCCAATCTCTGGAAGGCCTAAAATAGGAAGGAGATAAGAATTGAAGAAATTAGGATGTACTTTAGGAAACTCTTTCAAAATTCTGGAGATTTAAGTAGCATATCCACGTGAACATGGGATGAGGCAGTGAAAAGTAAGTTTGACAACAGCGTTGTCTGGGCACAATGCCCTCAGAAGCCATTGAAATGTGGGTAAGTATATACCAGGCTTATACAAATTCCCAATTTTTTAAAACTTAGAACTTTCATTCATCCTTTTCTATTTTGTATATTTTGTATTTTCATACATTTTCTCATCTGCAAACAGAACATAGAATTTGGTCTTCTCAAATCTGTTCACATATAGAGCAGGGCAAGCTTAGGGACAGCATAGTAGTAGCATGGGAAGCAAGTGAACAGAGGACACGCAGGGGCCTTGTCTCAGTACACATACACAGAGACAAAGACACACACACACACACACACACACACACACACACACACACACACTTACACACACACACACATAGAGACACACAGAGACACATACTCACACAGACACACACACATATACATACAGACACACAGACACACACACAGACACACACAGAGAGACACACAGAGAGACACACTCACACACACAGACACACACTCACACAGACACATACAGACATACACACAGACATACACACACACACACACACACACATACACACACTCACACACTTCTAAAGTAAAGATAGGACACGCAGGGAACTGGTTCAATACACACAGACACACACACACACACACACACACACACACACACAGAAACACACA